GGCCTTGGGCGGGAGGCGTGGGTTGCGCATGCGCGGTGGCCGGAGGGATTAGCCCTTTTGGGCCCCGATCCTTACCAAGTGGGTCTGAGTCCTCAAAGAAAACGGATTTCTCCCCACCTAAAACTACTCTGCGCTTCGGGCTTAGGTTACATTCCACCCTTTAAAGCCTTCCTTGACAAGCCCCCGGCCCCAAATGATCCTTAACTGTGAATTTCTCCTCCTTCAAGGTTTCTGCCAACTCATTTGTCACGTTTCATTGACCGCCCTGGAGTGTTAGTTTCATGGCTAATCTCTCCAGCGCTGTTGTAAGCTCCTTGAGGATCAGGGAATAAGTTTTATACTTTAGTGTTTTCTTCACACCCTTTAACAAAACCGCCTTATGTGCAGAGCTGACATCCAACTGACTGATGTCAAGGAGACTTGGAAAGCCTTGTGCTGACCTGGGACTATCCAGCAGGTTTCCCATTTGAATTATGATCCTCTCTACATCCTTTGTCTTTTGTTTTGCAAACGTCATGATTTCCTTTGAGTCTTTATGTCAATTTCTTTATTCGTGGGCTGGATATCAGAGCTAGTTGTCCTACATTTCCCAACAGTTTGTATCCTTGGACCATCTAAAATCAGTACTCTCAAGCACGATAAAAGAAACAAGACCTACTTCTTTCATTCTCATTTGTTTGTTGATTGTAAGGAGATGCACACTGAGCTAGCACCAGAGTTTTCACAGAAAGCTGTATCTGCCCTTCCCTGACCCCTAAAGGGATCCAGAATACTTGGAAGAGATTTGAGGTGGAGTCTAAGAGAGAGTGAAATAGGGAAGGGAACACTTTACCTGATTAGTTCAAAATCATCCAGGAAAGAATTTAGCATGCCAGAAGACAGGCTTCTGATTAGCATCTGGTTAACACAAGATAAGCAAGCTTCCTTTCCACTGAAAGCGAATACCAAGCCAAATTATAAAAAGGTTGTGTTAGGAAAAGTACATGAAAGCTTGTCTTAGAAATAGCTGCCATCTACAAAATTTACCTTATTCTGAGTCCAGTTATTAAGTACTTTTCATATATGAATTCACTCAATTCTTATGTCACTTTAAATTATTTGTTATCCACATTTTAATGGTGAAGAAAGTGGGACTTAAGACGTGTCTATAACTTGGCTGAAGTCCTACATCTAGTATTAAAAAAGCTAGAATTTAAATCCACTTAATTCCATTTAAGTCTAAAACCAGATCTTTTTCTCTACCCCTATCATTTGAAATACAGCATTAGGTCTGATATGTGAAAACTCAGTTTTTAAAACTAGAAACTAAACACTACTATAATCTTTGGCTTGAAATCAATAAATTTTCATGGCTATTTGCTATTCACACAAAAAGGCATCATTTCTTCTAACCACAGGTTCTTTTAAAAAACAATGAGAGGGGCTGGGAATTTAGCTCAGTGGTTCCTCCGCCTGCCTCACAATTGCAAGGTCCCAGAGTTCAATCCCCAGTACTAGGAAGGAGAAGGAGGAAAAACAAAAAGCAATGAGATCTACTATGTATAATGCAATATATATATAATACATATACATATATCCTCAAAAACGATTATATCCTGAATTTTTCACAAGGCATGTTTTATTTTCTTCTCATGACAAAATGCCCATAACATAAAATTTACCACTGTAGCCATGTAAAATGTCATTTACAATGGCTACAAAGGAACTATTCATCGACATTAATACATTCAATATATTAGGCAACCATCATTACTGTCTAGCTTCAGAGCCTTGTATCACCCCCAAACAATAACCCCATACTCAACAGTCACTCAACATTCTCCTTCCTAGGCAACCACTAATCTCCTCTCTGTCTCTGCAGAATTGTCTACCCTAGTTATTTTGCATAAATGGTACCGTACAATATGTGGGTCTTTATGTCTAGTTTCTTTTACTTAGCAAACATTTTCAAGATTCAAGATTCAACTATGCTATAGCATGTAACACTATTTCATTATTTTTATAGCTTACTAATAATATTTCATTGTATAACACATTTTGTTCATCCAGTGACAACAGACATAATGGTTGTTTCCATCTTTTGCTTATTGTGAATAGAGCTGCTATACATACTCATGTATAGGATTTTTTAGACACCTATTTTCAGAATTTTGTGTATATATACCCTATAAGTAGAATTGCTAGGGCATTTAGTAATTCTATAATTAATTTAAGGAACCAAAAAAACTTTTCTATAGTGGCTAGCTGTTTTATATACTCATCAGCAATGTAAAAGAAGTGATTAAAATATATGATGAATATTTAAATATTAAAAAAAAATGTTTGTCCAGGATTAGGCTCAGTACTTCCACCACCTGCCTTGCAAGTGCAAGGCCTGAGTTTGATCCCAGGTACAAAAAAAAAAAAAAGAATTTACATTAAAAGACACCTCTCCACTAATCCCCTTCAAAATACTATATTCATCCTCTGAACACATATATCACAGCAGTTTGGCTACTTTGATTTTGTTTTTTAATTTTCAGTGGGGTTTTTTTATAGTTGTTTTGGGTTTTGTTAATGTTTTTTGAGTTTGTTGTTGGGGATTTTTTTTTTTTTTTTTTTTGGACAGTGTCTATATAGCACAAGCTGGCCTTGAACTCACTATGTAACCCAGGCTGGCTTCAAACTCTAGTGATTTCTTGTATCAGCTAGGCGTACAGGTGTGCACCCCATGCCTGGCTTTCTGAAGCACACTTCTAGGCCTCTTTCTTGTCACACTGTTTGACTTCTCGATCTTCCCAAAAGTCAAAATAATCATGAAAGGTAAATGTTGTTATCTATTCAAACATCAAGATAGCCACAGCAGTCCAACTAAAGACAAAAAAGAGGAATTTGAGAATAACTTCAGAAAGGCAGGGCTGATGATAAGGTAAGTGTGTTCAAAGCAAGGGGTGAGTCTTTAGAGGTGGATTAATGGCAGTGTATCTTTTACTGTAATAATCTTTTGATGATTTAAACATTCAGTTTTTCAATCATACCTTGTCTATGAGTTCCAATTTCTCAACATCTTTGCCATTACTTGTTTCTTCCTGTGATATTTTGTAAAGCCTACCTAGAGAGTGTTTATGGTATTATTATGCTTCTGATTTGCATTTCCCCAATGACTAATGCTACTGAATATCATCTCATGTACTTATTGGATATTTATTTATCCTCTTTGGAGAAATGCCTAAAATCCTTTGACCACTTTGAATTTAGTTCGTGTTTTTGTCATTGAGTTGCACGAATTCTTTACTGAAAGACAATTTTTAAGAATATAAATGTGCGCATTTCTATACATGTATGTAGGGAATGCTTTTTTGTATTTTTTAATTGAAACAATAGAAGCATATGAAATGTGAATATGAGTACTTGTATCTCAGAAAAATAAGTTAAAGTTCTGTACTGCAACCTGAATTTTAAAAGTCCAAAACAACCACCAGCATTTCTCCTATTCAATTGTTTGTTCAAATTTTCTTAAAGTGCTAATTAATGTCTGTTGTTATGAGATCATAACTGAAGGGAATTGGAGATGGTGAACACTGCAGGAATAAGGCTTCACTGGAGGAAGGAGGTCACTGGGAGTGTGCCTGAAAGGGCATGTCTTGTTCCTGGTCCTGTCCTTGTTCTTTTTGCCTCTGCTTGCTGTCTGCCATGAATTAAACAGCTTTCAGCTCCACCAAGCTGAATCACCAGTCACCACCATGTTGATTCTGCCTCACCACAGTCTCGAAAGCAATGGAGCCAGCTGACTGGGGACTGACCCATGAGCCAAAATACATGCAAACCTTTCCCCCTTTACATTGTTTTTTTCAAGTGTTTTGTAACAACAACAGAAAGCTAATGAACACTTCTTTCTCTTCTGTCTTGTACTAAGTAACTATCTTTGAAGATAATGTAATAACTATTATTGCTCTCTTATTTGGTTTTAACATTGTTTTACTTTTTCATAAAATAAAAAGGTCTGCTGAAGATGAAGTATATGAATACAGAGCTACAGAAACTTTCCATGTCAACATAAAATTGTTGAAATACTGGGGGAAATGAGGAAATGTGCAAATTAATATGGTATTTAAATGGTAGTTCCCATTTTAATTTTATACTGTTATTTTAACTCGATTAAAAAGAGAAAAGTATATTAGAAGCTTCTCAGCCTTTATGTTTATTTCCAGAAAGGATGTAGAATTTTAAAACAAGTTCATTTCTCCTTTATCAATTAAAATGTGCTGTCTTTATTTGTTTAGCAGAATTTAACTAACAAAATTAAAACACTATTATGTGTTGATGAGACTAAACATATCATATATTCTTTTCAGATCATTTTAAATTTCTTGCATTTTAGTGTTTGTCATATCCCAGAGACTTAAGTCAGGAATTACATGCTGCCCATGTCTTCAACATTCTAAGGAATACACAAGCTAGAATGTACCAGTGTGACAAGTGAGTCAGTGGCAGACATATCACCTCATTCTAGTATAAA